TATTTATCTTTTGTTTAATTTGAGTTTAAAACAATGAAATGTCTGAGAATTAAATGTTCAAGTTAAGGGGATTAAATAAAAAATAATAATTTAATCAGTTGTACATTATAGTTTTGGAGAATCATTATTACACTTGACAGAGGAGGTACTAGTGCTATGACAAAATGGCTCAAGGGGTACACAAGTCTAAAAAGGTTGGGAACCACTGCTATAGAGAAAACAGATCAATGCAAAGTGAAAACTGTAAATCTAGTTAAAAAGGCATCACCATAAAAGGAAAATACAAAAATATCAACTAAGCTAGTGAGACGCCATTTTACTAACCCTAACCAAATACTCAGTGTGTTATTCGAGGGTAAGTATATTTCTTTTTGTTTAAGAGAGAAAAAATGGAGACTGAAAATTTTCCTTGTTTCCAAGACGTAGTGCATTCAAATTTTGGGTTAAATTTTGAGATTGTTTACAAGTGACTAAACCAATGTGATACTTAAAAGACAGTTAAATGTATAAGTTTCTATTTTTTTCTAATATTAGTTTTTTTTCTATTTTTAGTTGTTTTCTTTTCCAGAATAGTAAGTAAAGCCTAATTTTAATGATGTCACGATGTTTCATCGTTTTCAAAATATGGGTCACCCGAATAAATACCGGTAATTGGAAAATAAAGGTGACTGAACTTGAAAAGATTTGCAAAGACAAATGACAGAAAATCCCTCAATACAAAACATGAATAAATAAAAACTGTCTAAATGATGATAAATGTGGCCTATATTTTATATCCAGGGTAAAAATGCACAACTTATTAAAGTTATTCTGAAAACTGCCAAAAGATTTATGTGCTTGTGTTTTTTGTTTGTACTAACGTTTGTCAAAACAGCCCTAATTTTCCTGTTATTAATTATTACCTGTCACAATTAGGTTGGAGAAACGTTCATACTGACATGGAATTGTTGTTTCGTGAGCTTTTTTAAATAATGAGAATTTCTTTTGGAGGGAATGAGACTGTATGGTTGCAGTCATTATTGTTAAAGGAATTAAAATGTCTTTTCTGTATTTGCTGATCTTTAAGACCTTTGGTATAAAACATGTTTTATAATATTTAGTCTAGTATTAGCAGTATAATCTAATATGTTGTGTGTAGATCTTAAAGATTTGTTCCTTATTCAGCAAAACACAAAGTCAGATATGTAGTTTTCATATTTCAAGCTCATTTAAACGAAAAATGTGAAAAAAAAACTTCATTTTGTTTTGTAGTTTGGCATGGAGTTCCTTCACGGCTTGCATGGCGTCCTCAGTCACCACCATCAACCGCTACACAAAAACCATCCTGGAGTTCAAGCACAAGCGCAGGAACATTGAGAAGAACCTGAGGATCAAACAGAAGCTGCTGGAGCTGGACTCCCCGGAGCAGGTGTGGGACATGTACATCAGCTCAGTGCCGAGCACCGCCGAAGAGCTCCTGGACCTGTCGACGAACAGCCGCAAGCTCTCCAACACCTCCATCTTCCTGGACCTCAACGACTTGCCAGATCCACAGGGAGAGGAGTACTGCTAGACGAGCAGCGGGTTAGCATTTCTCAAACATTGTTGTATCGGTTCTGTGAGACAACAGTGGGAGTWGTGGGAACAAAAGTGGATCATAGCTGAACATCAGTTCCACCGCATCACTTTTCTAATACAACACACAACAATGTATTTTTAAGACAAGAATTATGTGTTCAAATGTGAATTCAACAAGGAGTTCCTCTCATTTACACAAAGACAAAAGTATACATAGATTCATTCAGACCTAAAGGTGGTGAAGGTTCTCAGATGTCCTAACATAACAAGACTAAAGCTTATAGATTCTTGTTAGTGATCATTATTGAAACGTTTGATGGTCAGACAAGATACGGCCTTTAGGCTTGAATATATAGAAAAGTATGGTGTAGAATAAAAAGTGTGTTTGGAGGAGTCAAGGTGAAGCTTTCAAATCTAAGATCACTGTRCCAGCTGTCGAGCATGGCGGTGGTAGAACCATGCCGTGAAACTGGTGAATTGCACAAAGTGAACAGAAAAAGAAAAGAAAAGATCTACCTCCAAATTCTTTAACGTCACCTTTAATCAACAGTGAAACGGTTGAAACTTAGACACTTTTAGGTGTTGCACCAGATTAATGATCCCAAACACATCAAAACAGTTTTCCTGATTGGATAAATCGTGCTGGCGTTAAGCTTCTGGATTGGCCATCTCAAACCCCTGACCACAGCTCTATCAAAATTTGTGACTTATATGTAAAAACTTGGTCCATACCAGGAACAAAACAGTTTAAAGGAAGTCTACCAACTCTGCCAAGAAGAGTGATTAAATATCCAAACAGAATTATACCAGAATGGGTACAAAAATGTAACTTCCCATTAAATTCACACTTTTGCAAACTTATGCACTTATTTTTGGATTTAAATTGAAAGTTGTATGTTGTATAATCATTTCATCTTAGAAAAACAATGGTTCAACCAAATCAATAAAAGCCCCAAACTATTGACATCCATGTAAAGTAATGATTAGATGTAAACTTTAGACAACATCTGTATACGTTGGATGTTATTTGGTTTATCTTTTAGGTTTTTGAGCTAGTTGTTTTTGGAAGCAGAGTCCTGAGAGATGAGTAGCTGACCAGGGACTGTGCTAAAATGACTTTGCATTTTCACAATGTTAGCTGATTATTTTACCACAACCCTGAACAGAAACAAATGGATAATGAAAATGAATAGATGGATTTTTTGTTTCTAGAGCTTAAACCTTCCAGAAGCAACCTGGACTGCAGCCTCAGGATTACAAGTCCGGGCCTCTAACCACAGTTCTAGCTACAGTACTGTATTTGCTAGTATGCCCATATTAATCAGCTTAATTTAGGACAGAATAAGATTCTTCACTTACAATGTTGTTTCAATGGTTTTAAACTTTCTGCTTTCCATCACAGCAAGAGYAGCCAGGCATTTGATCACTGCCTTTTTTCTTCGAGTGCATTTGTTGTGTGATGGCGGGATTATTCTAAAACTTCTTGACCAAATTCCTATAAAATTTATGTGGAGGCAAAGCACAGCGACAAAAATCAACCCAGTAAATTTTATTGGATGTTTTGCTCTTTATGTTTAGAACAGCAGCACATGGATATTATTCTTGTTTTAATTGCCGCAAAATCTGTATATTTAGTTTTTTACCAGTAAAAGTTTAATACCAAAAGTGAGGCGTTCAGTATCTCAGATATGTCTAACAAGGCTGAGTCAGATCCACTGAACAGGATCTTCTTTGTTGAAACCTTTTGTCTTTTATCCAAAAGGCTTCTTCTACGTGAATTATTTAGAATGCATTGGGACATTTTTTAGCAAACTTGTCTACAACACAAAACTTGCTAGTAAACATGTTTGCTATTTAATGTTTGTCAGTACTTTGATGTCCTTTGATCATAAAGGGCCAGAAATATTTATTTTTGGTTTAATTTAATTTAATCCAATTTGCATTGTAAATATTCTTCCGAAGGCCAAGTGTAAAACTGAAAGTTTTATCAATTCCTAAACCAAAAGGTATCCATCTTTTGTTAAGAAAATAATAGAAAAGGGGTTTGTTTCTACTAAATTGGTCTAAACATTATGCAAGTTAAAATACAGTTTAAAACTCATTAACATCTCCCTATGTTGAAAATACAAAACAAATGAAATAAAATCTTACACTTAGCTTTTTTGTGTGCTCGTCATACACTGGTGGTTCTTCTTAAACAACCAGTGACATATTAGCATTTATGAGGCACCAGAGGTCATTTCGAAATGGGTGAATTATGTCTAATTTGGCTTTCCATACATGCTGCTTTTCTACACAGCTGATTTTAAACAAACATACAAGTTGTGTTTCATTTGAACCAGCCAGTCTCACTTTGCTTTGGCGCAGAGTGCTTAGTTTAGATAGTGTTTATTTTTCTGTTGTGACAATTGGCAAAAATCAAAAAATGTTTGCCCTCCTCTTGATGAGAGTAGTGGCAGTACACTGTAAAAAATGAAATGTTGGATTTACTTAACCATGTTATGTTACCTGGTTCCACTTAACTGAGTTGAGTAAATTCAAMGCAATATWCYAGTTTTTTARCCAAAGAACATGAGYATGTTGCTTTGAATTTACTCAACTCAGTTAAGTGGAACCAGGTAACATAACATGGTTAAGTAAATCCAACATTTCATTTTTAGAGTGTATATAACAAAAGTATCCGTACATGACATATGTACTGTTAGGCACAAATACATATACCATTACACCTCTAATAAATAAAAATACATTTAAGAAATCCTACTCATTAAACTTTCAATGTTCTCCAAAATGTTTTTTTTAACTTTAGTACAAATTGTTTTCTGTGGTCTGTTTGCAACAGGTAAAAGTGCCAGGCTTTTGAAAATAATTCTTTGTTTTTATTACTATTATTATTATTTTTAGGCCAGAATATGATATTCTTTTACAAAACTTAACATGACAYATCAGACTCACTACATAAACTTTACAAAAATGTTAGTAGGTAAAATAAAGATGGAAAATGAACCAAATGTCTGAAAGTTTTGTAAAATAACTTTGACATCCATAGCCTCTTTGTTAATACTTTACCATCTACACTCTAAAAATGAAATGTTGGATTTACTTTACTATGTTATGTTACCTGGTTCCACTTAACTGAGTTGAGTAAATTCAAAGCAACATACTCATGTTCTTTGGCTAAAAAACTGGTACTGTATATTGCTTTGAATTTACTCAACTCAGTTAAGTGGAACCAGGTAACATAACATAGTTAAGTAAATCCAACATTTCATTTTTAGAGTGTAAAGAAAGCATGCCCAAGACTCCAAAGGGTTTGAATTTTACCCATTAAAGAAGGTGTACAAAGTTGAAATGTGTATTCACGACTTACTCGATTGTAGATATCGATTTCTGAAGAGCCCGCTGATAAAGACGCAGTTCCTGTATTAGAGTGATGATGCACTGCCTTCCTTAATAAACAAATGGACATGGTATTGTTCAGTAAACTGTTTAAAATATACCTTATACAACCTGAACTTGAATAAAGTGTAGAGTTTTTGCAATCACGTACGAAACAGAGTCTGGATTGACTGTAGAAAGATTATAACGAGTGGATCTGAAGGATTTACTTTCGCACCCAACAGTGGAACAAAAGCTGCCAGTTACTGTTTTGGTGGAGGACTCCAGGAAATGCTGAGTGCCTTTAACATCCAATAAGCATGCCTCTGATCACACAGCATGCTTTAAGTAGGGTGAAGCTGTTTCTCTGCCTCTGTGTAGTCTGTGCAAATTGCCAAAGTGGGAGGAAGGCTCTTCTTTTGAAGCTGTCTGCGTATTTAAATGTTTTATTAATAATGTGGTACTTGTATTCAAAAAAACATCTGAATTGCTATCTGTGCATTTAAAGTGCATTTGAAAGGAATAAGTTTGTGTAATTTGTTGTTAATTTATTAGTAAAATGCAATGTCATTGACTTTCCAATACATTCTGCTGTTAAACTCTTTTGTGTTCTAGTGATGCTAAAGCATGAACATTTTTGTTATTCTGTATTCATCATCACCTATGGGGTTAACGGTCTTTGTCTATGTGTAGTATTCCTTGGTTAAATCATTTGTTGATTATTTGCAACCTGGTATAACAATATGAATGAAACAATTATAAAAGTTTAATTCAAAGTATATTTAATGCATATATCGTAATTAAAAAATGGTTTGTTTTATAATTTTTGCCACTTCGTTTTTCTTTTTTTATTCACTTAGATGACCTCAAGATGGCAGTGCTGTCTTCTAGGTACCAACCAGCATATGTAACCATACACAAACATACGGACAATTGTCCTCAAAATTTTCTCATTCTGTGTTTGAGTCATCCATCTTTTTTTTTACCTCACCAATTTCTCACTCCCTGATAATTATTTACTATCTACTTACAAGTAACAGCTCAGGAAACCACATGAGGAAGCAAACATGACCGGCTGTGGGAAGCACAATGCAGAGGAAAGGAAGCTATTAAAGGACAAGAATATAAGGTATATAAAGAGCACTAATGATTAAATAACAAACACCTGGTGAAGAGACAACTACAAACACATGACACTGGGACAGAAGCAGAACTAACAAGATGAACACACACAGGGAAGAAAATATATTTTAAAAAACTGGAAAGGACAATAAATTACAAAAACACAAAAAGACTAAAAAGTAAGAAAACGGACAGTACCCCCTACCTGTTTCACATATATATATATATATATATATAT